CTAAGTGTAGGAGGGATTTGGGTGGGGAGTGTGGCGTTCGACGGGTGACGTCCTCACATCGACCACCAGGGGGAGGCAGAGCTCTTTCCACTGATGAGGCAGCGCTGCGGGTCTTATCCAATCAGCTGACAGGCAGGTCTGCACAGTGTTAGATCAGAGGATGTTAGACCACAGAGAAATAACATCACGGCCTCATCGTTGTTACTGTAATACATCTCATTGTATGAACGTAGCGTCTCCTCTCAGAGGTTGTGTTGAACACGGAGGCCCGTCCGGTATGAAGAGCTGTCACATTGTCCAGCCTGAGCGCCGAAACTGGCTCGTTACAGATGAGACGGCGTCTCCTTCACGCAGCAGCTCTGTCTGCTCGGTTCCGCCGGCTGCCTCCGACACAAGTCTGTCCTCCCGTCGGCATCACGAGGACGAGCTCAGCGCCTCCGCTGACGGCTCCGCTGTGTGAGCGCAGGCCCCAGTGAGCCTGTGAGAGACGGACACATCTGTGCAGCGCGTCGTGTGCTCTACCGCAGCAATGTGCTGCCCGGCCCAGCTTGGCACAACACGAGGAGGTGGTGATCCGTGGAACTCCATCATTGTTGTTTGAGACTGTGACATGAAGATGAATCAATGCACTGAAGATGTGTGTGCTCATGTGGATGTTTATTGTATCCTCAGATGATCAAACGACTGCAAGTCTTTAACCGTGTGTTCTGTCTCAATGAGGATTTGAAATATTAACTTTTATAAATGGCACGTGTTTTAAAAGTCAATACATTAATACACATTACATTTTTTAAAAATAATTTTTATATATGGTTTCATCAAACAGGATTCAGTTCTAAAAATAATAGGACAAAATAGATGTGTGTGTTCAGCTGAAATCTTAGAATCTGGACCCCACAGTTGGTCTTCATAAACAAGATGAGTCAAATGAAATAGAAAATGGAATGCGTATGGTTTTAAATAGACTTTGGCCTGAGGATGTGGTTTCGTGGTAGGTAATTTCTGTTGATGTAAAAATAATGAAAAAACTCTCATAGAAACAGGAGGCGGGTTGGCAGCTATGGGGCTCTATTGAGGAGCAGTACTTTTGATGAAGGGGTAGACAATGTCCCATTTTAGTTTAGCTTGTTAGCATGCAAGTAATAGTCAGCAGCGACGTAGAGAGGGCTGGAAATTGTCAAATTGTCCCTTGAATGAATTAGACCTCTGTCCCACACACCTTCTCCTTTCTCTCTCCATAGTGCTACGTAAGCTCAAATAAATGCTGATTTGTGTGACCATCGTGGCTAGTCTCCCAAAGTCTCATTTGATTGGATGGTTTATTTAGTAACCCCCCCCCCCGCCCTTGGGGCAGGATGAGTCATCAGACATTTGAAACCAGATTACAAGAAAGAAAAGGTAATGAATGTATAAGATACTGATTGATACTTATTGACACATTCAGCATTCAGCAACTAGATATAAATCAATATTTAACAAAAACTATAAAATCTAAAAATGTGCATTAAAAATGTACTTTTATTTCACTGGCCTTCACCCTGTTGGAGGACCATTAATGTCCACGCCACGTATCATGGCAGTCCAGTAGTTCAATCAAAGTGACAGACAGCTAGCACGGCTTATATAATATTCTATTGTCTCAGATCCCTCCAGCTTTCCTCTGATTGGGACACAAGGAGAGCATGGATTAGTCTTCTTTGGAACGGGCGGAGGTCTTTGTTTCCCTGTGACGTCATTGTGTGCCATGCGATCCCGTGTGGTAGGGGTCATGGGTACTGTATGTAACAGGGGAAATGAATACTCCATTCAGTCATTCCATTACATTATATGTCATATGTACAGCATGTGTGCAACGGCTGAGCTAAGCACAGGTGCAAGATATTATCTGCAGTTGACTGAATGCTGAAACCATATTTATACACATGATTTGTAGGCTGTGATTAAATGCCACACCCTACATACTATATATATACTGTACACAGTATGCGTTCATTTTCCTCCGTGTGAGATTCCCCGGGGCCACTTGGCATCGACAGAGTCAGCAGATTCTGGTAACATGTTCAAGCATGATGTTTACTTCCATCAGAAAGCAAAGGCGTCTGCGTGCCCGGCCGGGGTCACGGTCCCAGGCCTCAGAAACCTCTCTCTTTGAGCATGCTGTGGTTGAATCTGGTTGGTGGTTGAATTTTCTAAACAGCTTGGAAGCTCCGTTCAAAACCCTCATGCTCGCAGCAATGCACCAGAGCAGGTCTGAGAAACGGAGGGGGGAAGGGGTATACAGAGGAACTGGTTAAATGAAGCAGGTTATTTCATTCCCAGATGCTGCAGACAGTTTATTGAAAAAAGGCCAGAACTTGGTTTCTTTGACCTGCTGCCGTAACACACAGTGGCTCATGCGGCGTCCATGTCACGCAGGCAATAATCTCCTGGCAAAAAATGCGAGCAGTGTTTCAATGTGGAGCACGCTGAAGCTTCCAAGACGAGTCCTTGGTCGTGTGCACATTTGGGTTTCCTCCCATGAGCTCGTTCACATGTGCACTTGGTTAAGGGTTCATGTTTTACAGCGAGCCAAACATAGAGACGTAAACCGCAAATGACAAACTCCGATAGTTCTGTGTGCTATTTTCTTTCTTCTTTAATGTCAGTAAAAAACAACAGCAGAAGGTCATACGGTCCTTTTGGTTTATTTAACGGTGAATGTAACACGCCTTACTCTGCTTTATAACAACCACAGGATACAAGAAGAGGAAGGAAACACTTTCAAATAGTATTTCTGAGCAAGAATTAATTCCTGTTTTAAAACATTCTAATGTACTCTTAAGAGGATACACAATTTAAAGAAAGGAGTTAAAAGTTATACTGTACTGTTTTCAATAACAGTAGCATTAAAACACATTGACTAATTATTCACAGGCGGCTTTAAAACATGTATATATATATATATATATATATATATATATATATGCATGAGGCATATTTCCCATGTATATTTTATTATAAGTGGGTTATTGCATGTTGCCAACAATTCATTATCATTACTTAAGGCTGAGGCTTTTTACTGGTAGACATTGCCATTTGGGACTTCAGGACAACGTAACCTAAGTTAAAAAACCTAAATAAACTGTATTCAATTTTCAAGTGAGAAATGAAAAAAGGCGAAATTGTCCTTTCACGATGATTTGCTGAATTCTGATATGATTCTGGATATTTTAAATAATAATAATGCTATTTGTGTCTAGTTTTATTTTGTGAGGCAAATGTTCAAGATTAAGTATATATACTAAAATGATTTCCTCATAGTACACAGTAAGTAGTATATTAACTATAAATATATATAAAGTCATTTCATGTATGTTTGTGCCCCTTTTGGTTAGGGCCCCAGGCCTAAGACCTGGTGTTTAAATAGATAGATGGATATGTATGTGTATATATATACTTTATCCGTCCCAAACAACGAGGTCACACTCTCTCGTCAACCCACATGGTCACTGGGTTGTGTTTTGTCTCTCCTGTTAACATACAAGTGTTATTCCTGTAACGTACATTTCCTGCCACCCGACAGGTGAGGGCCGAGTGTCCTTCATTCATGTGTTCAAAGCGTCGACAGATGTCCTTTACACATCATCATATTACTAATGCAGGACCAAATAAATACTGTAATGATTAAATTATTTATTTTATTTCTATGATGTCTCCACAATTATATTGACCATCACAAATGTACGACCCTTTAATTTCCTTTCTTAAGTGAAACTACAAAACCTAAAAAAGAGCAGAAAGCACACGTAGTTACACACATGACCTATAAACGAATCCTCGTGCCAATGTTGATTTCACATGTAGGATCAGAGATGGGAATGCACCAGTAATAGTTATGGCTCACAATGGGAACTATCATTGTTCACATACTAAGAATAAAACATAGTGGAATTTAAATTATTTGTTAAAGTTTTACCAATTTATTGACGTATTTACAAGGTTTTATACTTAAATTGTAACTAATGTGAATTTTGCAATTTTCTCTTCACAAAACTTCTGTTTTACCAAGTATTATTTTAATAATAAACAACAGTTTATTTATTTATATTTATTTACTTGCTACATTTAGACAAATTACAAAGGAAAGCGTAAAAGTCCGTTCCACACTGGTTAGTAAATAAACACTGGTACATTATGGGTACTCGGTAAAGCGCAGATATCTCTATCGGGACTGGAAAAGCTTTTCACTAAACAGAGATGAGAGACAGAAGCTGTTGGAGAAATGGCAAAATATAACAAAAGCCATTGAATGTCTGACAACAGCTTTATAACACAATTAGTCAAGGCCAACCAGAAAGCATGTAATCCAGTTAGAACACGCTATTGCCAAGAAGACTTTTATTTTGAAAAATGCATCATGCGGATGAAATCCCTGCAGTGTCTGCAACTCAAGATGCATGATGGGAGCTGATGTGATGTCCAGGGCTGAGGTGCACGTTTGGATCTGGGTCCAGAGGGTTAATGGTTTTCCTTACTGGGTGGGAGAGAGGAGCAGCCGTAGCTTCTTTAAAAAAAATTAATTCAAGTATTCTGTGTTGGAAAATTAGGATGCCGCCTCTGTTGTCAGTCGTGAGCTGTCTGCCACTTTCCCAGCAGCCCTTGGGCCCAGTGACAAGGAGATGGATGATATCTGCAGCCAGGCTCGCACCGCTCCCCCAACGCTCGTTCTCACACACACACACACACACACACACACACACACACACACACACGCACACACACACACACGCACACACACGCACACGCACACACACGCACACACACGCACACACTTACAGAGTGTATGATTATTTGTCTAATACACCTCTCCTTGTTGCCTTTGGCAGCAAAACCAATAGCGTACATATCATGGGGGGAATAAAACCTCACAGGTGAAATTGTTTTGAGGGGAAACTGCAGGACTTCTCCATTGTTTGCTTTTACGCAACAAAACAGATGTTTAAATAACGAAACGCAAAACATATTCTTCTGGAACATTTATTGAAATTCCATGATTTACAAACAAAAAGTTGTTATTCCAATAATTAATACATTTTCACTTTGGATGTAAAATACAAGAAACAAATATTTGTCAATTGATGCCTTTTGGAAACCCAGACTATTATATTTTACAAATATATAAGGCAGTGTGTGTGTGTGTGTGTGTCCTTACAATAATTCAACCCTCCCTCCCTGTCTGCCTACGTATTTCTTCCCCTTCTTATTGTCCTTACCTGCTATCCGGTTCCCCTCCACGCTGCTGATGCTTGTCCCCTGTGCAACCGCCGCTGCATACTAATGAGGAGCCGAGGTGTGTGTGTGTGTGTGTGTGTGTGTGTGTGTGTGTGTGTGCGTGCGTGTGTCTTGGGAGGGAGATTGACTTTGCTCTTCCCCCCCTTTCCTCTTACTCTTCCTCCTCATCATTCCTGAAGAGCAGAGAGTGAACAGGGGAGAAGAGCAGTAGAACGGGAGGAGAAGGGAGAGAGGGGGAGGGAGGGGGGGAGAGAGAGAGAGAGAGAAAGGAGGAGGCGGCCTGGTAGGGAGCGGCCCGCTGACATCCATCAGCGTTTTAAGTGACTGCATTGGGCCGGCGCCGAGTGTAAAGGTCGTCTGGGCTCTGTGCAGTGGGCACCTGGGCAGAGCGCAGCGGCCCCCTGACGGCGTGAAGGCTAATTAGCTGGCGCAGGCAGCGCGTTACGCCGCTCTGACACTTTCACTGACTCACTGCGCTACTGTGAGAAGCGCAGGCAAAAGCCACAGCACTGCCCCCCCCCCTCACACTCTGTCAGCTGACTGAAGGCCTGCGCAGAAGAAGGCCATGAAAGGAAGGGTCCCCACCTGGAGAAGGGATTTGTCTTACCTCAGATAGAGATACAGACATTTATCTTTATATATTTATATTTATTAAGCCCACCGGAAGCCCCCTAGAAACCAATGTAGCAGGATTTGTCTGAAACGTTCAATCTTTCAGTGGCGGATTATCAAGGACCGGCCCTACAAAGAGCACAGTGATTATCCACGTGGCCTCGGGGACTGAGCGGATGCACTCAAGGACACACTGGGAATTTTTGGTCAAGGTCGCGTTTGAGGGACACAAAGAAAAAGCAGCGGGATTGGACCGGGCTAGCCGGACACGTGCTACAGTACAAGCGAGACGTTTCCCTTCCTTTCTAATTGGAAGTCGTCCAAAACAACCGCCCGCGGCACTAATGCGGCGTCACCAAAGAGTCACGGAGAGCGTGGAGGTGGAACTCTGATTAGGCACGTCCCATAAGGTCACAGCCGCCGAGGGGTTAACGGCGCGTCTCCGAGGCCAGCCGCGGGTCACATTCAAGTCCCAGCCTGCTAGACACAGCACAGTTATCAATAACCTCCTCAAGCTGCTGGCCAGATACCAGGTTTCCCTGGCAACGCCCCGGAGTGAATCACAGATGAGAGGGAGACCGGAGATAAGACACCGGGAGAGGGGGGCGGGGGGTTGTTCCATTCGGCATTCACCTCCGGACCGGTCTCGCTGCTTCTCAATCTTCGGCTCTTTCTAAACTCCCGCTCTGGGGGCCCCGCGCGCCAAGATAAACGCGGGTCTCAGCGCCGCTCCACTGTCCGTTTTACATCCCCCTCCACCCACCCCCGCCTCCCTCTTCCACCTCTCACAGCACTTACTGTAATCTGAAAGAAAAAAAACAAAGTGGTTAATGGGGTTTATCTCTCATCCCTGTCGCCCGGAGAATAAAAGACAAACTTTATTTGAGCTTGATGCACAGGGATAATTGCATTACAAGTGGCACTACAATTTATAGCCTTGATTGAATTCCAAACAAGATTGAATTAGCTTTAGTGCAGACTTTAGGGCTGGAGGGGGATTATTGTGTATTAAATGTGCGCCTGCATGTTTTTGCTCATGCCAGCGGCACACAGTGTGTGTGTTTGTGTGTTGAGGTGACTGTCTGGGCCTCCTGCCGCAGTGTCTGGAAACTCAGACGCCCCCCCCCCCCTCTCTACACTGCTCCTCTATCAGGCATACCGAACGCCCCCCCCACCCCGTCCCTGCTGCGATAAGAGATCCACCGAACACTAAGCTGCTTCAGCACACAACACGACATGCCGGTCAACCCTAACACAAAAAAACGTAAATAAAACCAGCCGTCTATTTCACTAAATCCATCCGATTTCCTTCTCAGCCACGAATCCAAATACGCTAATCTGTCCCTTATTACTTTTATCGGCGAGCGACGAGGGGGCGCAGCGTGCTACATGACCACCTCTGAACAATGGAGAGTAATCTCTCACACACACACCGGGTCCGTCAGCTGGAGCTTTTGGTTTATCTACACCCATTCTGCATCCGCATCCATGCTTCCTGCAGGAAGTAAAGGACGAGCAGGGTACGCACGGGGTTCAGGATGGTCAGTGACCAAAGAGCATACTTGCATTATTCATTTTATTAAATATTTAGGTACCTTAGAATAAAGAAAAAGCTGAAGTTCTGCTTATTGATCACTTTCATGAATTCAGATTTTGAGGAGATTTCAACATCCCTCTTGCTAAAAAAAAAAAGAAAAAACATTTTTATGAAATAATATTTTCTGTTTAATGCGTTGTGTTTAAAGACAATATTAAGACAGATAATACTGAAGATATACTTGAAGGACTTCAAACAGCTCGCACCATGCAGTGATGTGACCTTGACAACCACTTCCAGGTTCACTGTTACTGCAAAAATCGAAAGACCAAAAAAGGGAAATTACAATCACTGCTCTTATTTAAAAACAACACATTCTAATGCAAAATATGTTCACATTTAATATGCTAATTCATAACCAACTGACATTGATAAAAAGTGAAGCAGGTTTAGAATTTGTGATGGGGAAATAATTTGACCCTATGCCCAAAAGGTCAAGATAAAAAAAGTGAATTAATTTTTAATAAGTCAATAAACTTGCAGTATTAACAGAAAACGGGGTTCCCCTGCCGGTTTTGTGTGACGCAGTGTAGTGTGTTTATGGCACATAACAGATCAATGAGCAGTGGCTTCCTCAGAACTGCTTTGACTTTGAACCAAGTTTCTAATTCCCATTCAGCAGAGTCACTGAAGTAGCCGGGAGCCGATTTTTACGGGTTATTATTTATTGGATCCTTGGCAGATTGCTCTCAGCATACTGCTTTGTTACTGTCAGGGTGGGGGGAGGCGGAGGGGGAAGAGGGAGGGGGGAGGGGGTGTTGCGTGTCAGACAGACCCTAATAAAACTGTCTGGCTGTTTTGTGGGCACCAGCTATGCTGACTGCTCAGCACTTGTCGCACTGTGCCGGAGCTGTTTGGTATTCATGGGGGCACGGCGCTCCTTCAGCTGTTGCTGGGGGCTCTGTGGCACAGGCACACACTGATTAGCTGGCAAAGGCATTGTTCGGCGTGAAACCAAACGGGGGAACCGGGGGTGGGTGGGGAAAGAAAACGAAAAAAATAATAATTGGGGAGCGAAAGGGAAACTGGGAGAGAGATGGAGTGTTGGAGAGAAAATCGATTGTTTTGAACTGCATTCCTAATATGGGTAATTTAGCAGAAATGAGGTTTTCAGAAAAGCGTGCTGCCTTGGGAAAAGGGGAGAGTTTAAAAAATCAGGTCAAGCTGTAATGGTGAAAGAAGTACCACCTTTGAGTTGCATAAAGGAAAAGGCCTGACTCTATAATGGTGTAGAGTCAGCAGCCCGCTGTTCTATACGGTCATTTTCACCCTGCTAATTCACAATGTTTATATATTGACGTATACGGTTATTTGACATTTTGTGTCGATGGAACATTTAAATGGAAATTATTGGAAAGCAAGAAAAAATGATTGTGGAACTGATGAAACAATCCAAAAATCTGCTCATTGATCTTCAACACACAATGAGATGTCTGTCTCTCATTTCCACAGTCTGCCCCTTGATATCTTACTTTCTGTCTCACATTTAAATCGTGACCATGACGCGTGCAGTTTTTTTTAAACATTCCAGTCTCTATTAAAGAAAAAAGATATCTATTATTATAAATATTTGGCTTTTCACTTAATTGTAAATTAATAACGTTAATTTAAAACTTTGGGAAAAAATATTTTTCAAATGATATTACTTTCACTTAATTTTTATATATTTATATTCTTTGCAAACAAATGTATTATATGGTTATTAAGTTTTTGCACACTTTCTTATAGTAATCCGAGACAAAAATGAAAGGACTTTTTAAACAAATTGCTAATGGATTTAGCCGCAGTGGAGGGATTAAGTTAGTGGAAGCAGAGCTGTGAAACATGTGTATGAGACATTGTGTGCAAGCGGCTGCTGCGGATGCGGCTCAGGGCCACTAGTCCAGTGATGGACCATCAGACAGACGAATGGGCTGCGGTGCTGACGGGCCAGCCAGCACCACTCTGGGGCTGGGTGTGGTTGTGGAGTGGTAGATGTCCTGGGTCTCATCATCAGATCCCATGTATTGAAACAAAGATTTTGACGCGCAGAGAGATGATATGTCGGCCCTCGGCCGAGAGATCCCGAAAGCCGCTTTGAAAACATACCTATTCTACACATACGGTTCAAAAGCTACCTGCCTGAGCTACTTCCTCTTCATGTCTCAACTACCCCGTCCTCCGCGTCGTTCCCAGTATGTATATTTCTAGCGGTAAATCAGGGAGTGCTTCTTTCCGACTCCACCCTCGGGACCGCTCGGCTGAAAGTCGATTGTGCCGTCCACCCGCGTCCCGAGAGCCTAACCCGTGATATTTTATCAAGAGAGCTCACAAGTTAGGGTCTCAGGGAGCAGGTGAAGTACGACTGAGTCTACTGAGGAGCTGCAGTCGGCTGCAGGGCGCCGCGTAGCAACACAACCTTTCCCTATCTTTCTCTCACAAACACACACACACACACACTTCGTCAGCCACTGCTACTTGAAAGTACCCAATCTCTTCCCGAAGGCACCAGTAGCCACAACGTCTCTGTACTATACCAGACATTGGCTGCAATAAAAAAATAAAAAGAGGATCCATATTCCTCCCGCAATGATGATATGTTGTTCGAACGGGTTCAGCACACAGACAAGCAGAAGTAGAAACCTTCTTAGCACGCACAGCGAATGCTAAAGGACGACAACGGAGAAGGAAAATGAAAAAAGGTGGAAAAAGCGGTTGAATGCGTCGATTTGTTCAGACTTAAACAACCCTCATCACCCAGAGGCAGAAGCAGCCTGCTCTGTGCTAACTAGCCTTTGTGCTGCGAGAGGAAAAGCCCCCCCATTCCAGCAGCCGGGGCTCCCCTCTTTGTCCTGAAGAGCATCGGCTGATCATCAGTCTACATTTGTCCCTTCTTGGGCGGCTCGACCAGTCGTCTGCTGGGCCGTGTGCTTTATATGTATACATACATATTGCAAAATAGATATATTAAAAACCCTAATCAATCAACAAGAACACTGTAAAAAAAACGCCACTCTGACTGCAACGCCCTGGATGGCAGAGCCCTGCTGCCTACCCAGCCAACCGCGGTCGCAGGCTTGGCATGCAATAAGTTGTTGAAGGCAACAAAGAGCTTCCATGGATCCAAGAGAGGACCGAGGAGAAGGCTCGATGCTGCAGGTGCACACGGACTGCCCGGTGAATATGAGCAAAGTCATGGTGAAGACATTCCCATGTCCTTTTTGCCTGTCATGTACCCAAACACACTGCCGGTTGCCCTCTCTCCACCTGCCCTCCCCATCCTGCCAGCGACCTCACAACTCCTCCCCCTCAGATTTGAAAAAAAAAGAAAAAAAAAAGGGATAGATGTCTTTGCCTGTCTCCTCCTCTCTGGGGAACCGGCAGAGTGGAGGCTTCCGGAAGCGAATGCTCCGCGCCGCCTCACACGCTCCGTCTCCTCCTGCCCACGCCGACTGCCCCCCGATTCCTCCCCAACTGCCTTCCGACTGCCCGCCGACTACTCCTTTTGTTGTCCGCCTCCGAGGACGAGGAAGAGCAGAGGGAAAAAAGGGCAGCGGTAGAAGCCCACCTTTATGGCGAGTTAGAGTGGTGCTGGGTGTCCGCCCGGAGGCCTGCAGCCCAGACGTAGGTCAGTGAGGTGGGACACCCCCCCGCGCCCCCCCTTTCCAGCACAGAGTGTTGCTCCATCCCTGCAACCGCTCCTTCTCCTCCCCCCTATCCAGACACTAGGGACACATCAGCTCCACTGACACTGTCATCTACCCCCCCCACCTCCTCTACTCATTTTCTATCGCCACAGGTCCAACGCGACGCCTGCCATTGCAGAAGATGAAAGGAAAAGCCAAAAATGTCTGCTTCCTCCTGCCGCCGCATCCCGCTACCTTTCGCTCTCATCCCCCCCACACCTCCTCCAGCTTTTGAGCCCTCCACCCCCACCAAGCCCTGCTGCTCCTGCATCTCCTGTCCTTCCTTTACCACTATCTCCACACCCCCACCCGTCCCCTCCCCTGTACCTGTCTGCCTGTCTTGTCTGTTTCTCGCCGTGTGCAGCTGCTCACCCAAAGTGAGATACTGCAGCAGCAGTGTGCAGCGACAGCCCTCGCTCCCTCTCCCTCTCCCTCTCTCTCTCTCACGCACCCCTCCATCCAGCCTTAGCTGGCGACCACGTTCCTCTCTGTGCTGATCAATTTCTTCTCTTTTCCTGAGGTGCGCGCACACACACACACAC